TCAAACTCTTGGGCTTAAGCAATTCTCTTGCCTCAGCCTCCCAAGTAGCTGGGACTACAGGCACCTGCCACAATGCCCAGCTATTTTCTGTTGTTGCTGCAGCTGTTTTTGTTGTTTTAGCTGGCCCAAGCCGGGTTCGAACCCGCCAGCCTAAGTTTATGTGGCTGGTGCCCTAACCACTGAGCTACAGGAGCTGCCTTGGGGGAAATATCTTAAGAAGGAGATATATAGCTAATAGTCAGAAGTGCTTAGAGATCACCTGAAAGAATTTTGTGATAAAAGCTCATTTCAAAGAAATGTGTAACTCAAAGGAGAAGTGATCATGAAGAGATAACATTTTAATAGCATAAAGGAGGAGAGAGACAATAAAGAGAAGTTTCCTTTTCAATTTAACAGATGAATCTTTTTTTCCTGATAACAGACATCAATCACTTTTGGAGAAGAAAGGAATGAGGTCTAAAAGCCTGTACTAACATTGATTAAGATTAGCTCATCCACTTTAACATCTAGTTTCTTTTATTCATTCAGTAATAATCATCAATTTATTTGTTGACTTCCTACTACAGACCAGGTACTACATTACATGCTGGAGCTATAGTGGAGAGAAAAATCCATTTCCTGTAATCTTACAATTAATTAGCAGCCTAGTGGCCAAAGAAAAGTCCCCAACATTGTCTTCTCAGTTCTCCCAGCTGTCAGCCACATGCCCTCACCATCCATCCCAGTTACCAGACACTGCCCCTGGGATGAGGGTCTCTGGCCTGTGATTCCATTAAAACTGCCAGGCCTTGGGACAAACATTTCCACTGAGTCAATCCCTGACTACGAGCCAGGGTCACAGGCTCAGAGCCACAAAGAGAGGAGGCCTTGTTTGAAGGAGCCATGTTTCGGTCCTAGAGTTTGAGTGAGTCATCCTTTCCGAGATGGCAGTGCTTTTACTTCATTCCATCACCAATTTCACTTCATTCGATCACCAATTTCCCACTGTCTTTTGCACATGGCCTTACTGAAAATAAGACTACTTAGTATCAGCTCTGAGGGGACTCCTTTGACCATGGAGCCCTTGGGTGGGGAAGGATGGAGAGTCTGTCCCTGATTCTGTTTTTAGCTGTGCTGAGTACCCTGCATAGGCTCCAAAAAATATTCATGGTGATGTGAATCATGGGGGAGCAGTTTTCAAATCTGAAGCCCTGGCTAAAGTGGAGTTTGAATGTAGTCTATAGCTACTGGGCAGACAAAGGCTCCATTTTATTTTAATGATGAAATTTGAGACTTAAGATTTATGAGAGCTATAAGTATTATGTGTGTATTTGCCAATATGACAAGGAGAAATTCTGTTACTAATCAATCAATTCACATGGCTTTTTATTATCACAAAAGGAGTGGGTGTTCCTTTGTAGAAAATATAAAAAAGAAAGATTAGAAAATAAAAATCACTCCTAATCCTGTCACCAAGGAATCATTGCTATTAACATATCACCCCTATTTTCCAAATCATTTTTTTTTTCAAAATAAGATTCTATTCTGCATATTATTTTGTAACCTGCAATTTTTGAGCAACCATATATTAAGAACATTTTTTACATGTCATTCTATGTTCTTCTGTGACACCCTTTTTTTTGATGATTGCATTATGTATCTATGGGTGGACACATAATACATTTATTTAAGTATTCTCTTTTTGTCGAACATTTAGGTTTAACTTCACTATAAAGAACGGTTTTGCCTTTAGTTTTGAAAGATCACTGCTGGAGTAGTTTAGGCTAAGATCTTGCCCTAGGGAAGGTAGGTCTTTGGGTTGAAGAAGTGGCAGATTTAGGGGGCAAGAGATCTGGCACCCACTTTTCTTCTGTCTAGTCTAAAACAGCAATCATAAGTCGCATGCCTTAAATGACCTTGAAGCTAAGCTGTGGGGATGCCTCTGTGAGGGAGGCTCCTCTCTCTCTCCTACTTCAGGAATGGAATCCTGACTTTTCTTCCTGTTCCTTCCCCATGCTGGCTCTTCTCTACCTCTGCTCCAAATTGACAGTCCAAAGTGCTAGTTTACCAGGTCTTATCCTAAAGAGAGTAGAGTGGTTTTTTCCTCTGAGTAATCATGGCCATAGCCATATGGCCATGGTTGGAGCACCCCTGCAACCCAAAGCTTTGGTCTATTCCAGCCCAGCAGATAAAGCAATTCATAGGATTGTATTAATAAAATGTTAGAACCATAAGTGATCAAAAAGGTGATCTAGACTTCCATTTCCATCCCCATGGTATAGAAAGGCAGGGATTTGACCAATATTATTGGCTAATGGTAGAGCTAGAAGAAGGATTAGAGTCAGGAAGGTGTGTGGTGGGAGGAGTCATCACAGTGTATCAGGGATAGACTGCCTGGGTAAATCCCACCACTTCTGAGCTGTGTGAACTTGGGCAAGTTATGTAACATCCTTAAGTCTCAGTTTCTTTACCTTTAAAATGGGAATGGCATGATAATATCTACTGCATAGGGCTCTTATAAATGAGAGATCACATGAAAAGGGCTTCATATATAGGGTGGCCATAAAGTTGCAATCGCCCATGAACTTTATGGCCAACCTGTGTTCTTTATAAATGTTAGCTATTAGCATGACAACAAAAGTCGTTTCTGCATATCACTGAATCCCAGTCCACACAGAATCCTCTCAAGCTGATGCTTCCATTGGAAAACACAACCCTCTGGAACAAAGGCTGTTTTCCATGTGAATGACGGCTTTACCAGCATCTGACGGAAGGATTGCCCTTCAAATGGAGGCTACTCTAAGTAGATTTGCGTTTGGGATGCCTTCAAATTAACCTGCTCCCTCTGGTTGCCTCTTGCTAACCACCAGCCCAGTAGCATTTGTGTGGAAAGACTGGAGCATGCTGCTTGTGGTCTGAAACAGAAATGTAACCACAGCGCCAAGGAAAATTAACAACGTGGCACAACCTAAGCATCTTGATCGCGGGCCAGAGTGGGCCAGAGACCAGCAAGCCCTAGAGAGATGTTAGCTCAGAGTGGGCTCCTTTCCTTAACACACCTTAGTTAATACCAGTCATACCACCAAATTTCCTTTTTCTTACCTATTTAGCTTAAGTTTTTCTTAGAATTAAAAACATTGAGGATTTTAGAAAATATTTATTTAATTTCTTAAGGCCTATGGTCCTGGTTGTATAAAGAAAGAAATCCAATTAAATTATATGTGTGTGTGTGGAGAGAGAGAGAGAGAGAGAGAGAGACAGACATATATAAATATTTTTTATGCAAGCCAGGTTTAGTTGATTTCAGTTTTAGGCTTCATTGCCAAATTAACCTGTCAGATGACAATGCCCACATCCCAGACACACCCAAAGGACAAGCCACAACAATGGCACCTCTGGGAGGTTGCAAAGAAATATGGACTCCAGGATCAGACTCATAAACTCACACAGAGCTAGGTAGCAAAACCAATAATTCCCTTCATTTGGGTAAATTCTGTTAAGCCATTTTCCTCTTTTGTAGGGCTTGGAGAATATTTTTGATTACTTAAGAAGGATTTATTTTATTTTCCAAAGAAGCATTTTAAAGCGATCACTGGCCTAATAGCTCAGCCCATTCCAGGTGCTTTGCGCCTGTAGGAGTGTGTGTGAGGCCACAGGTGTGAGCACAACCCCCGCAGTGGGAAAGAGGTGCTGGCTAAGTTTAAATTATTCTTGTTTTCTTTCCTTCTCCTCTCCCTCCTCGTCCTTTTTCTTTCCCTTCTCCTCCTTGTTATTCTTCTTTAATGAAATCACCTTATATGAAAAGAACAAAATACAGAACAACAAAATTTGATGATTAAAGGAACTAAAGTAGTAAATGACTTCTTGCTCAGTACAGAAAAGTCTGACTTAAAAAAAATTAATTTTTTCCTATTTTCAGAATCCCAGAAGAGAGATTTCTTATTTCTTTCTAAGGTGACTCTGCACATATATTCAGAAAAACCTCAAGTTGTAATTGCATTCTTTTCACTCTCAGTAACTGGCCGATTTACGGCCTACATAGTAATTAACCCTAGCTGATGTTTAGTCCCGGCTAAATCTGCTTGCTGCTCACCCCTAGAGGTAAGCCATGTATTTGTAGATGGATGTTTCCTCTTACAGGAGATACCTGAGAGTACCCCAATATCCCAGAGTGAAAGAAATGAGCAATGAAGAGTCTTTACCAAAAGAAAACAGAAAAAAATTCCTTTCACTGGGTGTATTTGATTTGCCACGGACAATGCAATGGAACGTGGGAGATGGATAGTAGCCCTTCTCCTGTGTGAGGACCATTCCACCCCATGGGGGGCCCAGATGTGTTGAGGAGGGTTGAAGTGCTTGGGCATCTGCACACAGGTGTGGAGCCCAAGTCAGGGTGTGGTTTTACACATGTTGAAGGTAGCTGAAGAGTTAATACGTGCAACCATGGGTAAGCACGCTGCTCTGGCAAATGCACAGCCTCTCCTGAACAATGATGCCATTGCAATATTTCTTTTTGTTTTATTCATCCAAAGTCAAACATTCACTCTCTCAGATCACTAATATATCTCCTAAGCCCAGCATTGGCCCGTACTGCTGCAGGACTGGGACAAAGAGATGATGTTACAGTCTGGTTTCTATGGCAACAGAGGAGGGGTAATGAAAACTGAAATGTTGGAAACACCCATTCTGACAATTGTGACATAATTCAGGTTATTACAAGGACGTAAGTACCAAAGAAGCAGAAGTATCATTACCTTGCAGCTCATGTCGACAAAAACAGCTCCCCCGCACATTTCTCTTAGTTGGGCTGCTAGGAGGAAGGAAACAGGAGAAACACACACACACACACACACACACACACACCCCAACCTCGTTTTCTGCATGTAAAATGTGTGTGTTCTTTAAAAGCCAGTGGTTGGCTGGTTTTCCGGACATGATGTGGTTGAAGCTGTCATCGTAATGGAAATTCATTGCTGTAGCTATGGTAAATCGAGTTTTCTGCTGTGCTGAATGCATTAGTCTAATGAGATGTTTGCAGCCGGAGAGCAGGGCTGCTGGAGACTAACTGTGAGCTACTAACACACGGTGGAAGATAGCTTTTGTAATACTCGGTTCGCATGTGCTGAAAGTCATCTGTCTTCTGAGTCAACACTCCTGACCTGGTAGACAACCTGATCAGGGCTCTGGTGAACAGCTGTAGGTAAGGCTGTGCTGTTGACATGGGATCCTTCTCTTTTAACAGTCAGTATGACAGGCTACCTGTTTTAGTTTTTCTGGGTTGCATGCCTGTGTCTATGGCAATGCGCGCATGTCCTGCCCCGAAACCACTGAGCCCAGTAGGTAAACTTTAGTTCCTCCTATGCAAAATGCAATGGTTAATTTTCTAACCAGATCTCAGAGGAAAAGATGTAGCATAGAATTATATAATTTATGAATTTCGGTTACGTACACATCCATTACTCTTTAACCCTGCACTTAAATATGTACGAAGTCATTTTGTTTTCTAAATGTGGACTCAAATAACTGTCTAACTCACCCCTCCTCCACCCTCCCTGAGTTAATTTTGCTTTGTTTTGTTTTTTAATTAAAAAAATTGTAGTATGCCTTGGGATAAAAAATATTTATCTAAAATTTGATTATTAAAAATGGTATGTTATGAACATATAAAAATGTCTTTTAACTGAATTTTATTTTGAAAATCCCGGATGGAATGTTTCACGCGTCTTTGTGCTGGCTAAGTTACCAGGCATAGATGAAAATAGTAATTATTGCTAGTTGTTGGTTTTAGTTTTGGGAAGGGGAACAGGTGACTGTTAAGTGTTCCAAGCAGTTTTCCCAAGTTCAAATACAGTCACCTCCTTCCCAAATGGAGCACTGTGTGTCTTGAGTCAGAGTCCACATGTCCCCCCAGGCACAAAGTGTCCCATCCAGGGTGCTTGCCGGCTGGACAGGACCAGCACGTGAGTCTCAGCTGCAGGCTGCTCAGTCCTTTTGCTGACAGTTGATGTGCTGAGCCAAAGTTCTCTCCACTGTCAGTGACAGTGAACGAGAGGTAGCTCATTGTGTTGTCTCTGGATTCCATGACGGTACTTCTTAGACAATCAGTAGCTTTCTGAGAAAGTGGCTTTGTAGCTGGACTCAGAGACAGGGGGAGCTTGAGAAAGTAATGCAGGTGCTTCAGGATGGAGGTTTTTGTTGTGGATTCTGTTTTTCTTCACTTTCAACCAGAGGAATTATTTTGGGAGAGAGGGGGACATAGCTGCTTTTTTTCTCAATACTTTTTCTTTTAATAAAATAGAACACAGGAAGTGAAAGCTTACAAATAAAATAACTACCAAGGAATTCTGGGTATGGCAAATCACCTGGGGGGCACGGTATTTGTGTGGAGTGCTTCTTGTGTGGTTTGGTAGAGCTAGCCTGGGAAAATGAGAGGCTGCGTGGGTGAAGACCACCTGGACAATTAGTACCGACTGAGTGACTGTCGAAACAAAACGTCACCGCAGAGCCTTCAGTTTTAGAAGTTGTTTGGTGGCTTCAAAATCTTTCCCTTGTAAGCATATTTGTGACTGATTTTAAAAAACATGAATGTTTTCTTTAGCTCTTTACGCATGTGGAGGAACGCTAGTATATTTTGGTAAATTTATCAGCCTACATGATTTGTGGAATTATAAGAAAGGGACAAATTGCACAAAAATCCAATTCTTTTGTGTTTGATATGTTTCCATTTTTTTCCCTGTGCCACCAAAATCACTTTTATTTTTGGTGCAAAAAAAGGGAACTACTCAGTAATAGAAAGACAAAGCAATCAGAGAAACAAGAGTAAACTGCTTTTCGTTATTTCTTGTCTTCTGCGGCTGTGTTTTCGAGGCTAGGGAGACCAGCAGCAGGAGTTTCACTTTCTGCTTCTCAGGCTCCTGGGGCGGAGGGTGACCGTTGTGCTCCAACAGACAGGTAAGCAGAGCAGATAAGCCGCCAGAAAACAACCCAAACCCAAATACTGACACCCTGCTTTGAGAACGTTGAATAAACACTGCCTACTGTAAAAATTCAAGCAATACCCCAAGGTACAAAGATAGTATTTTTAAATTTAAAAAATTTTAAATGATGGAAAAACCACAACCACATTGCCTTAAACCTTTCATCCTGGGGTGACTTTTATTTGTGTTTTTTCAATCTAGGTTTTGGGTCTCAAATTCTTAAATTCAACAAGTTTAAGGGAACATAACCCAAGTTCTCTGAAATCCTCATAAGGAATGCCCAGAGAGGACTAACCTTTAAGTGAATCTGGGGAGTTAAATTTTAGGGTTTTTCGTAGTTTTTCTGTTCATGATTTTGCGTGGCCCGAAGACCCATCATCATGCACACATCCACTCATCCTTCATTCTGGGCACGTTAGAGCAACATTTGGTCCGTGCAGAGGTGGTGGCTGGGGCTGGAAAATCATTCCTGGGGGCCCTGTTGGAGGTCTGGGGAACAGTTTTTCTCCCCAAGTCTGTGCCCCACCTCCAAACCCAATCACATGGGGGGATTCCTGGGAGCTGGGCTGTGCTCACCACACCCTGCAAGTCTTGACCACAGTGGGAGGGGACACTATTCCCCCCCCCCCCAACCTTGGGAGCTTTAAAATTCCACTCACCTCCAGTTAATCCTTCCATTGACCCCTCAGGTCTTATTTGGGGATGAAATGGGGGGAAGGGGAAAGGGAAAGGAGACGAGAGAGGACCCTTTTTCAATCTAATTATCAAGGATCATAAAACCTGGTCTAACATTTTGGGGATGAAGTTTGTGAAAGCAATTCCTTCTGGGGTGATCGCACAACCTTCTTTCTTTGGTGGGCAAATCTTACACTTCTAAGAAGGTGCATTTTTAAAAAATGTCCCCTTGGACACCTTATTTCTCAATCCTGCAATCTCCCAAAAGACTAGTTTTAGCTTTACACACTTTTTTTTTTTATGGCTTTGTTGCCTTCAAAAGCAAACAGGTGAAGAAAGAGGGAGATTAACAACAGCCCCGGGAGAAAATCAAACCGTTTGGTATAGATATAATCTAACAGAAGCCACCAGGGTGTCTAGTAAATTACTCTAAATTTTAATTAATGACTCACAAAAGCCACACCACATGCTTTAAAAATTACCCTTTTATCAATAAGGTGATAATTAACTTTCTCTGGAATTAGCAATTCTTTCAGCCCCGGGCAGTATGCAGCCTAGTAAGTTCTCTGGAATGCTGCCAGGTTTTAACAATTGGTCTTTTGGCAAACCTACTGGATTTTAATTCAAACGTCTAATGTGACATTTTCCAACGTGATTCAAAGGCTATTAGGGTCGCTCCAATCATAGTAAAATGTCTGCGGTCACAGGAGCAGCTTGGAACGTCCGGATGCATCCGAGGGTGCCGTTTGCTTTTTCTGTATTTTTCCTTTTCTACCCTGCCCCGCCCCCTCTGCCTTCGCGAGAGCCCCGCGCTCTGGTCACTGCGCTGCATCTCTGCTCCGGTCCCTGCTGTAAGTCGCAGCGGCGACCCCGCATCTGCCCGCACACCCCTGCGGAGTGTGAGCGCTGTGGCCGGCAGCCCACGGGTGCTAAGCGTGTCTCATTGTTGCGTTCATCTTGGTTCCTTCTTCGTCTTTCTGCCAACTCTCACTGCGTGTGTCAGATGCCGAGCTTGGAGGAAGCGGAGCTTTGGGGCCATCTTGGACCTTCTCACAGAGCCTCGCAGTGCAGCTCGTTCTCACGTACACACCTTGATGTCTGCTGAAGCACCAAGCAGTCAGCATTTCAGAGTGGCCTGCCCCAAACCAACCCCTCCCAGACACCCCCACTTCCAGCGCTGCTGGTCACTAGTGGGTGACACTCAGGCACAGCCCCTCGAGGGCACTGCTATTTGGCCACAGTGGCCAGAAGGGGCTCCTCGCCCCCTCAGAAGCCAGGGCCCTCTGGATTCTTCCGGCGGTATCCTTGCTGCCCTCCGAGCCAGGGCGGGACGCTGGCGTTGAGGCTTTCCACTGTGGGGAAACACGTCACAAGAACATCCTTGCCTTCGGGCAGGTGGCGTGACCAGCAGCAAGGAGAATTTGGGCGTCCTAGAATAAATCAGCACTCAGCACTCAGCACTCAGGGGAGGCCCTTCGCTCCCACAGAGGAGATAAAACACCTCTTGCTCCTTGGGATGATCGCTTCTCAAGCTACTCTTAGGACAGAAAGGAAGTTACGACCCAGCGGCAGTTCTCTCAGTTTATATTAGGCTGAAAAGTCATTGCACTGAGTCTGTCTGACGCTGAGGCCATGGGCGTATGTCCTGAGATCCACACTGCAGATTTCTCGGGCGTTGTTACTATACACCAGTTGCACCAGTTGTGTTGTGCAGGGAGTCCAGTAGTCTGGAACTACCTTCACTCCTCTGGGCTCTCCCATCAACTCAGACACATTTATCTACGTTTTTGTTTGTGGGCGGCAGATGTACTTTTTTTTTTTTTTGGCATCTGCATTTATTGGTAACGGAACTCAATTCCACCACTGCTAATTTTCAAGAACGATTTTTGCACGTTCCTGCAGCCAGGCTATAGCAGCCTTTGGAGAAAAAGGCTGAGTTGAAGAGTGGCCTTACTTCCATAAGGCGCACAAGACCAAGAAGCCAAGGAGTGGAGCTGGCTGTTCTGGGAAATTAATGTGTCAGGGAAAATTAGCGGCACCACTACGCTTTGAAAGGTGGTAATGTTGAACCAACGCTTAGCCCTAGAATGGTGACTCAGTTTGGGGGAGCTGGATATTTGGTAACAAAAGCCCATGTCCTTTTTCTTTTCTTGTGCTAATCATTATATAGCAAGAGCCCTTATTCTTTTTGAACAGAAACTCAGGGCTGGAAAGTGATTCTAAAAAAATGTACAGCCTTTCATGAAAATGGGTACTTACCTTGGGGACTAATGCTGAGCTGGGCAAAGCAAAGAATTTTCCCAGTTGGGTCTAACTCCAGCCTGGGGAAAGTGGCACCGAGTAAAGAAGCCAAGCACACAGGAGGGCTGTTCCTTCTTCCTTCCAGTGAGGACTGAACTGTCACCTGTATCACAGGCAAAGTTCAGAGAAGATCTACAGTAGCTATGAGTAGCACACGGCTCCCAGCTCATAGACCTTACAGGACTTTTCTTTTGGGTTGAAGAAAAGACTTTCTCTTTTCCTTTCCTCTTTTGACCACAGGTCATCC